CAGAAGAAGTTTAAGGTTTGGAAGATTCATACACATGTCACTGAACTTCTATTTATTTATATATCAAGCACTTAAATTTAAATTTTTATATATAAGCCAACCTAAAAATCATATTTAGATAAGGATATATTGGATATGTTCACAGTCCAATTTAGTTTCAATATAAGCACTTCGAGCATCGTATCAAATATAGCAAATTCATAATCAAATATAGCATCTTAACGAGACAAATCTAAAGAACCAAATATCACATAATTCTGACATTATTAAAGCATTTATATACTCATAAAATTATATATAATCAAGAAAATCACTCTAACTCCAAGTTAGTGCAATCTTTACTGAGAGTGTAACTCACAGAACTATAAATAAAGTTTCACAAATATAAAATGAAGAAGCTCCTAGCTCTTGATGGTTTCTGAGTTCCACCACTACCGCCCACCATTGCCCCGTCACCAATGTTGCCACCATCGCTCGAGCGCCGCTACCGTGGAGACACTACCACTTGCCAATGTCATCGTCGTCAGGCAAACATCGTCTAGCCACCAACATCGCTAGATCACCGTCGTCACTGGCTCCAGATTGTCGTCGTCGGGACGTCGCCACTTCCCGAACATTTTATGCCACCCATTGGCATCCTATATACGATCAAATGTATCCATCTAAACCACCGCCAAAGTCTATCTGAACGAGGAGAAGGATAAAAAAAAAGAACAACCAAACAATCGAGTTCAAACCAATTGGACTAAAACAAAACAGACAATCAACCGAGCTAAAAACTACAAGAAAGTCGAGTGAAGACATCGACTTAGCTTTTGGTAGGTCTGACCTGATGAATTAATGCAATTCCTTGTTATTATTAATCGTCCCAATAGGCTCCTCATCAATGACCAAGAATTGACAGCACAATAGAGTCTTATAATCATTATAAAAGAACCACTTGTTGAGGAATGAACTATCTATCAAGTTACGATAATTCGCCATATGCCCAATAGACAATAGCCTAATCTCATTATGCCGAAAGGAGCTTCTCTTCCATTGATCAAGGGTTGACGACCACACTAAATCAACAGATCAGCAAAACCTAGCCGACCGAGTTAGTCCTCCCAACCCAAAGTCAATCAAGCTTAGCGTAGCGGTAACATTGACTCAACCTAACAAACCTGATCAGCCTCAACAAGCCAAAGTCATATCAGCCCAGTCAGACGAGTCTGAGAGCAGTCGAGAGCTAAAGTCATATATGTAAAATATCAAGAATATCATATGCAATCCTCATTAAAGCATGACAAAAATAATATCAATATATTGTACCATTACTTTTATAAATATATAAACCATTATATGAATAAAAAGTTAAATAAGATGTATTAATGTTTATTAATGTTCACCCTACTCTCTAACTTTTAGTAAAATTTTGGGTGTTATATGTATATATATATATATATATATAGAAATTAGGTGTTAGATATAAAAATACATAAAGAGTTATCCGGGATACAATGAATCATGACAGGCTGAATTGGCACCCATATCTCGCGCAGTGGACCTCGTTCGAATCACTACGCGACGCTTCCTTGTCTCCCAAAGTGGGCGCCAATCCTCACTGCTTTGGTTTCTGGTGACCTCTGCTTAATCAAGCAAGGCATTTACGACTGATTTATTCGGTAACCTTACCACTCCGTCACACCGTAACGATTGTCTCTATCAATAATTATCCGCGTGTCATCGCACCATGCAGTTCTCCCGCTCCCCCTGCGCAGGGAGGGTATTGTGGACAACCGACGAGGCTACAAGACCCCATTTTTCACCTTTAGGTGGGACCCATCTAAAAGCAATTGTGTTGGTCAAAGTTGAATTTGTAAAAAAAAAATGAAGTACGATGGGGTTATATTGATAATTAATCGTAATTCGTTTTGTTTCCAATTGAGATCATGCTAAATTAATCGACACGAGGAGAACAAATTTAAAAAATAGAAGTTGATGTGCCAAAATAAATAAATAAATATAAGCTTTAATTTTAGCATGTATGTTATTTTTCCTATGCATTGAAAGATATATCTCACATTCTAAAAATTTTAGTTTAAATGGTATTTTTAATGTGATAAAAAATTTGTGTGTTATAAATATAAAAAATAAAATTTAGATGTTAGGTATGTGAATAAATAAGAATTGAGTGGTGTCTATGTAAATGCAGGGGCGTTTTTGAGCTAAGGGCTCGTTTGGGGCAGCTTATAAATACATGAGTGTTTTTTAAAACGCCGCGGTACCGTTTAGATCGCGAGTTTTGTCTGCTTATCCGAAAACGAGGCTCTATTTTCACACCAAACGTAGGCACGGGTAAAACCCTGCATTCGACCCGCGAGTCGCATTTCAGGATAAACTGATTATCTTGAAACGCACAAGTTGCCCCAAACACCCTAAACCAGACCCAATTGTTAGGGTTTTGGCTTTTTAATTTATTTTTATTGATAAATAGAAAAGTTATTCTTTAATTTTTTTATTTCTTTTACTTTAAATAAATTTTTTTAGGCAAAAGTTTCAATCAAGTCAATTTATTTATTTAACTGAAATTAGAAACCTAATTTGATGAATAAATTTGATCAAATAGTAGATAAATTTTGATGCATTGAAAGTACAATATTTTGAGAAAAAAAAAACACTCTTTTTTTCCCTTCATTATCTAAGACTTAATGATCAGCAAGAAAGGCTATAAAAATTGAAATAAGCAATGTAATAAAAGTGATTCAATTGCATATTGTTTGTCCATGTCTAGGGTTGAGGAACAATATTATTAAATCTAATATTTCCCGTATTACAAAATCACATCATTTTTTCTCTTTATTGTTAATCTTCAAAAGATTCAATCCCATAAAAAAACTTTATGCAATTAAAATGAATAAATTAAAAATTGTTCTATCATCTGTCAGGGGCATCATTGTTGTTGATATGTCTAGAAGTTGTGCTACGGCTGTGCTCATGATGATGCAAATACGACATTTTAGTTGCAACGTTTATATGCTAAATAGCTGATGTGTTCTTTTGAAATACATTTTGACGGCTCAATAAGGTCATCAACTATATTTAATGATTTTGATTTAGGGAGATAATATTTGCTAATCTCTTTCATATATTTATGATCCGATTTGATAACATTTGGCTTAATATCATCATGATGGTCATATTAGGGCAAAAAGGAGGCATTACACTTTTCGTTTCACTCAAAAAAACTTTATCCATAGGATTTAAGTAGTGAAACAAGTTGCTAGTTGTGGATTGGATCATTCCCTTGTTCCTATTGCCTAATTCATTTCAAAGGTCTAAGTAGAAATAATGGAAGAGAAGGGTTCAATTAGATTCGAGCTTGGTAGAGGGAGGCAACCAAATCAAGAGGTGAAACAACAGTGCAAGCCACTAAGTGAAAGAATAACATAGTAGTCGAAGTTGCCCGATTAGAAGAAAAGATTATTAATATATTGTCATACATTTATTATTTTGAATAATTGATGTAATTGGAATAAAAATCTAAAAAAATAATTAAATAAATGGGTTGAGGCCAAGAAGAATTGGATTAAAGAATGGGCTCAAGAAGAAGCTACATTAGAGGGTTTTGTTGTTAAAGAATGAAGACAAATGAGAAAGACAACCCATACTAAAAGGGAAATTATTTAGAAAAAAATGTGGTGAAAGCTACAAAAAGATAAAGTGATATGATATTGAAAATGTTAAATACGATGGTGATTGCACTCTGCACTCTAGAGAATAAACTCCAAATAGATCATCTCTGTTAGATAGAGGTGTTTGTCTATAACAATTTCTTATTCTCTTGGGTAGCATTGTCTATTCTATTTTTCCTCTATCATATATTGTTTTTCTTTTTTAAAGTCCATATGCTCAACGTCAATCTCTTTTGTCAGTGGTTGATTTTCAATAACTATCTTTGAGGTTATCCAATCTCCTTTCTCATTAAAAGAAAATTTAAGTCAATTTTCCTTCAACACCCAATTTAGAGAGTCATGTAAATCCTCATTGAGGTTTGCCAATGTAGCGTGTAACACTCACTAACCATTAATGATCGATTCCCTTTTATTCGAGGACCATCTTACTATCATTTTGTGAAAAACAACAACTAATTTTATCAATGATAACAAAAATAAAAATGTTACATGAGATCTAAAAAACAAGTTAATTTTTTTTTGAGAAATATGTTATGATTATCATTACCATATAAGAGAGAAAGACTACTAAACATGATAAAAAAAATAATAATATCATGGAGTGGTTGTTCAATGTCACCTATATCTACTATGATTAATATGAATACCAATTTCATTACTTAAGAGTTGTTATAATAGGTTAAGTGAGCTAAAAATATAGAGTTGCAATATACTTGATGGGGAGTACCCAAAATTCAAGCCAATTGAATAGGGTTTTAAAAGTATTTTGTTAGTTGCTAGTGTCATTAGACAGACATACCAAACTTAGAAGAACTTTTCTTAAGTTATGAGACACAAATTATATTTGATTATTTCAAGACTTGAAGCATTAACAACGAGGAGAATGATATGGTTCTTGGTTATCGAGTTATTAAATTTATATAAATAATATTTTTTTAGTATTTGGATTCATGTTATTTGGTTTTAATAAGACACCACTAAGACATTATAATACTTTAAAAATATAAAATAAATATATAAGAAATATTATTTATTTAGCTCCAATAAGTCTATGATAGAGAAGAAAAACAATTGAAAAAAAATGGATAAAAATATTTTGACTAAATTTATTGAAAATTATAATTATATAGATGTTTTATGAAACTAAATTAATTATTTTCAGATTATATTAAACATAAAATAAACTTTTGACTTAATTAATCTTTCACCATTTTATATTTTTAGCATTTGCCCAATTATTACTTAATTTTAGTTTTTTTTTTAATCTCATTTGATAACTCGGAAGAAACAAAAGGTTAGCCCACCTCACTGCGTAGTTCCCTCACTTTAGCCCTCTTTTTATTCTTTCGCAGGCATTCGAACTTCGAATCTCCAATCATGCCCTCCTTTTGAGCTTCTTGCCGCCTCGAGTTGCGGCGCTGGTCTGGTTTCATCTCCTTCTTGTTCTCTGCTCGGAGAGGGCGTGAGCGAAGAACTGCGACTTCTGAGTGCCGCGCTTCTTTTGGTCGGCAAGGTCTCCGTGATCTTGGAGGGTTGGAGATCTCTGTTCTGCCGTGAGTTTAGATCCGGTGAGGTTTCTGCGGCTCGCTGGCTTCGGTTTTAAAGTAATGTGCGTGGGTTTTGGTTTCCTCTGAAGCAGTTTTAACTCGCATTCTCAGTTCGGAGCCCGATTCGAAACGCATTTGTATCAGAAACTGCGTTTGTTGTCTGGTTCTGTTTATAGTTTTTGATGTATTTAGAGTGGACAACTTGGATGGTTTTTGTGTTTGTTTTTCTTTGATTTTTGGACGTTTTAGTGGCGCTGGGTGATTTTTCTCTTCTTTTTTCTAATTTAAATTGCACATTGATTTTCTGTTTTCACTGCCTGGCTATTGAACTGATTTTTTGTTATTGGTTTTTCCAGGGATGATTTTGTTTTAAATGGCCCGAAGTAAAGGGGCCGACCTAACCTAGGCTTCATTTTTCTTTTCCGTTTTCGCCTGTTTCTTTCGGCAACGTGGTTCCGACTTTTATTTTCTTTCATTTTTTCTTGAGCTGTTTTTTCATCGAAGAAATTTGTCACTATTTGTTAATGGCGAACATGAAGGCATTCAACAAGGGACATGTAACTTATGTAATAACTACGTTAATACCTTTAAGCTTTCCGTTCTCTGAAGTTTTTGTTTGGGGTTTGTATCCTGTAGTTGGTCAGGGAAGCTTCATAAAATTTGAAATAGGCGAAGCTAAGTGTTGATCGTAACATGGAGCAGTATGAGGTTTTGGAGCAGATTGGCAAGGGGGCATTTGGCTCTGCTCTTCTCGTGAAGCACAAGGTGGAAAAGAAGAAGTAAGTGGAGAGGCAGCGTGCTTGTATTTGGCTTCCGCTTTATCCATTGCGTTGCTTCTGCTTCTTTAGAGTTCTTTTTATGTATTTATTCTTCATTTTCTTAGGTATGTCTTGAAGAAGATCAGACTTGCTCGGCAGACAGATAGATGCCGCAGGTCTGCTCACCAAGAGGTAAAATCTATTGAAATTGTGCACGTAACCAATGGCTTGCTCTATAATGAGATGATCACATGCACTCTGTATTGTTCAATGCCGTGTAATGGGAACAATGCTCCTATAACCACTGTTTGTAGATGCTATTGTTTTCTGAAATCATACTTGATTACTAGCTTTGCTGACCTTTAGGTGGTACATTTTATACGATGGTTATAGTCCTCATACCTTCATTGTTTCTGCAGATGGAACTTATTTCCAAAGTGCGAAATCCATTCATTGTGGAGTACAAGGATTCGTGGGTTGAAAAGGTCTGGAGCACGCCTTCATTATCATTAAAGTTAATGTATTGGGATTGTGGGAATTCATTCTTTATATATTATCTTATTAAATTTTCGGCATGTTTGGTAGCATCTGGCATACCAATAAATTTCAGAGATCAAATTTCTTTTGAATTTGATAGATCTCTTTTGTGTTGTGCCCATTTCTTAGCCTTCTTTCATTTTTCTCCCCCAATTATTTTATTTGTCATACCCACTTGATGTTGATGACAATAGTCAATGTTTCCTGTACTCGTTATCTTTTCTCCAAGATTAGCCGTGCCTTTCTCAAGTTTTTATTGACTGGTTTGATAGAGTTATTTTAGTGCACTAGGCTCTGATTAATCAAGGTTTCAAAACTAATGTCTAAAGTTCAAATTAGCATATTCCAGCCATGACATAACTTGTTATTTATTAAGGGCCTGTTTGGGGTCAATTTTGTTTTTAAAAGGATGTTTGTTATATATATATATATATA